CACCCCACCGCCGTCTTAACATCGCAAAGGGTTGTGCAACCCTCCTCTAAAACAAAATTGCCAATCCCCACCGCTAAGCCACGAGGATCACTAGTTCCCAGAGAGTCACAGCAGTGTCATATTGTGAGTCACGACATCCCAACGCAAAAGACGTGGCCACTTCTCCTCCCCTTCATGGAGTGCCATCAGGTCACTAAACAAAACGGTTAAGTCAAGGACTCCCTGGTTTGATTTACTCAAGATCTATAGCTGCCCTTCTCAACTTTGCGCTACAGATGCTGCCTGAGAAGCGTTTTGAACGCAAAACCCTGTCCCCCCCCCCCCCCGGGGGCAAAGCCAATTTCTTTTTGGCCTTTGCAAAAAAGAGAGAGAGAGAGAGAGAGAGAAAATGAACGAATGCAGAAGGAACCCGGCTTTAAGACGATGAGCCGATAATTGAGCTTTAGGGTAGCAACTTGACAGGTTGACGGGAATAAAATCCAGGCTGGCAAAGGGTTGACGTCTGGATGAATTAGGAAAAGAGTAGTTGGATTTTCCCCACCGCAGGCTGCCTTCAGCGAGAGCTTGACTGATAATAATCCTAAGGAAATGTTCAAAGCCTGGACAAAATTGTCCTTTAAAAGCGTGCCGCAATTTAAAATTTTTGCACAGGCTGCGTTGACGAAGAAGAGCTGTCCAATTTCCACCTTTGAATTGATTTAATCCAGTCCAAACAATCTAAAATTCACCCATTGCGCATCTCCTTTGAAGCCTGCCCACAAGAATATTATGGGGTTTGTTTTGTTTTTGTTTTTTTAGAAAGTTAAAAGCAGAAAGCTCTTTTGGGGTAGGTATTTTCCAAGGGCCGGTTGCAAAGTTGGGCACTGAGGACTGGAAGCGTGAAGCTTTAGCACTGAGGACTAGAAACATCTTGAAGAACACCCTTTTGACTTTGCGATGACTTGAATTGCTGCCGCTGCTGCTTTGAATGGGCCTGAAACGTTAAATTTAAAAGAGTGATGCGCTAGAGAAAAATTAGGCTCAAGGGGGAAAAAAAGCGAATTTTCAGGCTGTAAAATAATGATGATAAATGACATGAAAAATGGGAGCTGGAGAGGTTGTAGGCTGGAGAAACAAACAGGCCTCGGTTGATTTACGCAAATTCTATTCCGATTTCCAGTATTCGCCTCTGCTGAAGAAACTCTACTGTCAGATTGCAAAGACATGTCCAATCCAGATTAAGGTCTCCACGCCGCCACCTCCTGGGACGGTCATCCGAGCCATGCCAGTATACAAGAAGGCCGAACACGTCACGGAAGTGGTCAAGCGGTGCCCGAATCATGAACTTGGACGCGATTTCAACGACGGTGCGATCTTTCCCATCCTTTCTCTCTCAAACTCGCCTCTTTGCTTCTCTGAATGCGTTTTTTTTCCGTTCCATAGAAGAGGCTTCTGGTTATTATCATCATCATTTAATGACCCTGTAAATCCCTTGGAGCTAGCAGAGTGTTTTTAGTGGCCAGATGCCCTTCCTGTTGCCAGAGCGGAGTTTTGTTCATTCTCAGTGTGCCCAGAAAGAGAAATATCTGCCTCTACCTAGGATTGAACTCACAGCCTCCGGATTGTGAGGGCGAGTGCTCCCACCTCTAGGCCAGTACACCATTCTTAAGAGGCTTCTGGTTATCTGCCTCTTTAAATTTAGACTTTGGGATGTTCTTTTTTTTAAAAAAAATCATTTAGAGACTCCTTAACCATCCTATATATTTTTTTAAAAAAAAATTCCTTGCAAAATTTCCCTTGGGAAATTTGATTAATCAATTGAACGATGGATTGATTGCTCTCTGATTGAAGAGTTGATAACTATGACAGTCACAAATATGAATCGGTTGCCAAGCGTCCGAATTTTGAGCACAGGGATGCTGCAAAAGTCCCAAGTGTGAAAAAAATAGGCGTAAGACACTTTTTTCTCGGCTGTTGTCACTTCAAACGGTCGCTAAATGAACCGTATCTGTCTTCCATCATAAAGCGAGGACTGGGGTCGCTGTTTAGTAAAGAATATCTTGCAATCCCAAAAAGAGATGTGGTGGGGAGGGAAAGGGATTATACCAGATGAGATGTTAATATTCATAATAATAATAATAATAATAATAATAATATTACAGTAGGAAAAGATTTGCCTTGGAAGTATTTTCATAGTGGCTGCACCTGCCCTTGATGGAGCCTCCAAGGACAGGGGCAGTATAGCTGATCGCGGTTTTGCACAGCCATCATGAATTAAACCCAGATAATTCGACATTTTTCCTTCTTCAGCTGCAATGCAATTCCCTTGCTCAAATCTGCAACTTTGCAATAAATCGATTTTCTTGGTTTTCTAGGCCTCTCGGCACCCGCCAGCCATTTAATCCGCGTAGAAGGCAACAATCTCTCCCAGTATGTCGATGACCCCGTGACGGGAAGGCAGAGCGTCATGGTCCCTTACGAGTCCCCCCAGGTGATGTGCCGGGCCTGCAAATTTATGGGATGCTTTGCTTTGCTCTTTGTCCCCCTGTTGGGCTACCAAAGGTGCTAGTCCTCTTTAAGGTTTTTTTGGGGGGGAAAGGATTGGCAGTGCTCGGGGCCGGGAAACCGGTGCATTCAAGAAATTATTCTTGCAAACTTAATCGCCTCAAAAGGAGTGAAGGCTGAACCTTTGATTTCCCTTTTGCTATTGAGCCAAGATTTCCATTACGGGGTTAATTTTCATGGGCGGAATGGATGTGTTTGCAGGCAGCAATAAAGGTTAGTGAGAACAAATCTGCTGCCATCTGGTGGC